ACCTTACAGTCCTAAAGTCTTACAGCCTTACAGTACGGAAGTCTTACAGCCCCACAGCCCTAAGGTCCTACAACCTTACAGCCCTAAAGTCTTACAGCCCCACAGCCCTAAGGTCCTACAACCTTACAGTCCTAAAGTCTTACAGCCTTACAGTACGGATGTCTTACAGCCCCACAGCCCTAAGGTCCTACAACCTTACAGTCCTAAAGTCTTACAGCCCAACAGTCTCACAGCCCTACAGCCCTAAAATTGTACAGCCTTAAAGACCTAAAGTCTTATTGTCTTCCAGCCGTTTAGCTCTAATGACTTATAGCCCCAGTAATCAGATTTCTCAGTGCTGTAAACTCTCACTCTGATTTCTTTGAATTTTCTGAGCATGAGTGAAAACAGATGGCGGTACCAGAATTAAGCGAGCAGCGTCGCCACGAAACGCAGCAAAACACTTTTGGAGTGGCGCTGAAACCAAACATGAAGCGAAGGATTTAAATATTCTTCATCTTCTAGATGATGTCTGTTCATATTTTCAGGTAAAGCGGCGCCGCAGCATGAAGTTTGAGTTTTATGTTACTGTGGACTGTGATTAGTCCTCCACAGATACGTTTACGTCGCGTCTTCTTCTGTGAGTTTATTGGCTGGTTGTAAAGCAGAAATCTGATTACTGTCTGACTCATGTAGACCTGGAGTTTCACCATTATCCGATTACTCAATTGCATGTAAACAAGCTGATCAGATTACTAACAAAATCAGATTTTCTGCAGTTATCGGATTATTAAGTTTTATTATTATTATTATTATTATTATTATTATTATTACTCAGTGTGGATGAAGCTAATCTTACCTTCCTGATAAACCAATACAGAATACTTCAGTATTAATACCTGTCTGTCTTCAGTGAATCTCATTACAGTACAGAGAGCAGGACGAGCAGAGAGACACACTGAGTGTGTTTACATGCACTTAAAAATCTGATAACTGCAGAAAATCAGATTGTGTCAGTAATCAGATCAATGCGTTTATATGCACTTGAGTAATCAGATAATGGTGAAACTCCAGGTCTACATGAGTCAGACAGTAATCAGATTTCTGCTTTACAACCAGCCAATAAACTCAGAAGAAGACGCGACGTAAACATAACGTAAAACTAAAACTTCACACCGCTGCTTTTTTTTAACATCACACCACTTATACCAGAAAATATGAACAAACATCATCTGGAAGATGAAGAATATTTAAATCCTTCATTTCGTGTTTGGTTTCAGCGTTGCTCCATCAGCGTCTCGTGATATCCACTGTCTGATCTTGCGCATGCTCAGACGGAGAAATCCGAAAGAAATCAGAGTAAGAGTTTACATGCACTGAGAAATCTGATTACTGAGCTGAAATCCAGCCTCTTTATCGGATTTCTTAATCAGATTTCTAGATTGGAGTAAGGTGTTTACATGACCATTTGAATAATCGGATAACTGCAGAAATCTGATTATGATTGGATTAGTGAAAGCATGTAAACACACTCTGATAATCTCCCCCAGTCTGAACGTTAGCGCTGCTCTAATGAAGCGAGCGCCGACTGTGTATGAGCTTCTGTCTTTTTTCCCTTGAGCTGTTCTGTTTATAGTACTGCGTGTTCTAGACTCTGATGTGGTGTCGGCGGTCGTGATGACTGGAGAACATTTCTTACATATTTCTGGTCTAAAGCTAAAGTAACTGAAGTGCGGTTCTCTGGTGTGAGACGTGGGGGATCAGAGCTCTGGGATCTCTGGAACGCCGGATGTGGTTTCAGTTCTGAGAATGTGACTGGTCTTTACCCAGCATGCCCTTCTGCCCCCAGGCAGCGCTGAGAGTGAGTCAGCCTGCTCAGTTATTTATTTATTGATCGGTGTGTTTGTTATTGGTATGTTTGGTTTGCTGGTGAGGGAATGTGAGGAGTAGTTTGGGGAACAGAGCGGCGGCTCTCAGGCTCACTGGAGGAGATGGGTGATAAGGTCAAAGGTCACACTGATCTCCTCCATACTGTCCAGCAGAACCACTAGAACTATATATGTGTGTGTGTGTGTGTGTGTGTGTGAGTGTGTGTGTACGTGTGTGTGTGTGAGTGTGTGTGTCTGTGTGTGTGCGTGTGTGTGTGTGAGTGTGTGTGTCTGTGTGTGTCTGTGTGTGTATGTGTGTGTGTGTGTGTCTGTGTGTGTGTGTGTGTGTCTGTGTGTGTGTATGTGTGTGTGTGTGTCTGTTTGTGTCTGTGTGTGTATGTGTGTGTGTGTGTGTCTGTGTGTGTGTGTGTGTGTGTGTGTGTGTGTGTGTATGTGTGTGTGTGTGTGAGCAGCAGATTCACCACAGAGATATTTCAGTCAGAACAGTCTTAACTAACTAGAGCTGCAGCACTGCTCTGCCTCAGGGTGGCGCTGTAGCAGACTGGTTCACCCAGTTGGTCCTTCATAGCCTAGAAACTGTAACTCTGCCTGGATTCCTCTGAAAAACTTTACAATGAGCTGCAGCAGATCTGTAAATCTGAAAACTCGCCCAGTTTCCCAAGAGTTTGGAGTGAAGAGTGACTGTTCCTCATTTCTCACACTGAAGACAGAAGAGGAGACGAGGAAGATCTCAGTTACTGTGAGGAAGAGCGCAGAACCGCACTAGAACAGAGACTCTACAGAAGAGGAGACGAGGAAGATCTCAGTTACTGTGAGGAAGAGCGCAGAGCCGCACTAGAACAGAGACTCTACAGAAGAGGAGACGAGGAAGATCTCAGTTACTGTGAGGAAGAGCGCAGAACCGCACTAGAACAGAGACTCTACAGAAGAGGAGACGAGGAAGATCTCAGTTACTGTGAGGAAGAGCGCAGAGCCGCACTAGAACAGAGACTCTACAGAAGAGGAGACGAGGAAGATCTCAGTTACTGTGAGGAAGAGCGCAGAACCGCACTAGAACAGAGACTCTACAGAAGAACAGCTGATAAACAGACATTTACTGACAGTGAAGCATCAGCGCCGCTATGGAGAGAGTCAGCAGCCAAATACCAGGGCTATTTCACTGGTTATAATGACTTATAGAGGAAAATGATGAAGCCGCTGTTTGGCTGATATAAAACTCTCAGCTGATTCTCAAACATAGGTTGTTCTTATCATCTATAACTGGGCTTCCCAACCTTTTTCAGCTCCCAGCCCAAACAAACAACCACAGCATGACTTCCTCTTTGAGTTTTGCCAAAGTATTTATCGGAGAGTCTACACACAGTCTCTGAGTCAAACTCATCTCCTCTGATATAGTGAAGTAGATGTCCTTTTCTGAGCTGACGGCGCCCCCTGGTGGCCTGAGGTGTGAGTGTAAGTGATTGAATATGAAGCACAGTGAGTTCTGAGCGATATTTACCGATTAAGCACTCAGCACTGTTGATTCATTGTGTGTGTTATTGGACTGATGGTCAGTGTGCTCTCTGTCCGTCGCTCTCAGTGCGTGTAATGACCCTATGCCGATGCTCCTGCAGTGAGGCTGTGTTGACTGTGAATGAAGCTGTGTGCTGTGCTGACTCAGCTCAGAGCCATAAAGGCCATGTTATTGTTGAGCTGCGCTGCTTTAAAAGGAGCTTTTAAAAGCCAAAGAGGAACAACTGCCCTCACCACAGAGCCAACAGGGCCACACTGACCCTTACAGCTGCACACACCCCAACACACCGCAAACCCCGCCCACTTAAAGAGACAGTACAGCATTAATCCCACTACATGTGTACCAACACAGCCAATCAGCCAATACAGTGGATCAGCCAATACACTGGATCAGCCAATACAGTGGGTCAGCCAATACAGTGGGTCAGCCAATACAGTGGGTCAGCCAATACAGTCAATCAGCCAATACAATCAATCAGCCAATACAGTGGATCAGCCAATACAATCAATCAGCCAACACAGTGGATCAGCCAATACAGTGGATCAGCCAATACAGTCAATCAGCCAATACAGTCAATCAGCCAACACAGTCGATCAGCCAATACAGTCAATCAGCAAATGCAGTGGATCAGCCAACACAGTCGATCAGCCAATACAGTGGATCAGCCAATACAGTCGATCAGCCAACACAATCGATCAGCCAACACAGTCGATCAGCCAATACAGTGGATCAGCCAATACAGTCGATCAGCCAACACAATCGATCAGCCAACACAGTCGATCAGCCAATACAGTGGATCAGCCAATACAGTGGATCAGCCAACACAGTCGATCAGCCAAAATAAGGTGTCTGAAGTTTAATTTATTAGCTTTAGCACTGGAGCTACGAGGCTAATGTAACAATAAGTTGGAGCTTATACTCCACCAATTAGCATCGTGCTAACTGCATGACAATCACCACAAACATGATGACAAAGGTGATGATGATGATGATGATGATAGTGACAATAGTGATGATGGTGATGATGATGACAGTGATGGTGACCTGATGGTGTTGATGATGGTGATGATGATAGTGATGATGATGGTGATGATGATGATGGTGATGATCATGGTATTGAAGATGATGTTGATGATGACAGTGATGGTGGTCTGATGGTATTAATGATGATGATGATGGTGATTTGATGGTGTTGATGATGGTATTGATGATGATGGTGATGATGGTGATGATGGTGATGATGACGGTGATGATGATGATGATGCAGTAGCTCATCATCAGAAATACAGCGCCTCAGTGTGGTCCCCAATGGAAATAATAACTAGGTCACACATCACTTCTTGTTATGTTAACAAGACGGATTTTTATTAATTAATTAGATTAATTAATCAATTAATCAGATCATTCAAAAAGCTCAACGAGGACAGTTTAATGTGTCTCACTTTGCTAAACAGATTTATTCAGATTTAAATAATGAATATTACGCTATTATTTTCCAGCAAAGTCAGAGAATAAAGAGTGATTAAGGGGAAGGTGGAGATTAGGACCCAGCGGAGAACAGAGGGCGAGCGAGCGCGAGAGTCACATGATAGACACACACAGACGCACGCGCGCACTCACGCGCTGGCTCCCCTGTAACCCTCAGTCAGACTCAGGTCTGTGAGTTTGGGCGGGTCAGAGCCGATTTAGTGGGTTTCCATGTTCTGAAGCGCCATGTTAGCCGTGCGCGCTCTGGCTGTGCTCCCCCTGTGTGTGATCTCAGTGTGGGTGAGTAACCGCGCCTTCACCGCTACACAGCGCCTCACCAGCTTAATCAGCTTCACCAGCTTCACCAGCCTCACCAGTTTAATCAGCTTCACCAGCTTCACCAGTTTAATCAGCTTCACCAGCTTCACCAGCCTCACCAGGTTCACCAGCCTCACCAGCTTCACCAGTTTAATCAGCCTCACCCGGAATATGACTGAAATATGACTGACACGGCGGATCAGAGCGAGCTGTGCGCCTCAAACAGCGGTACAGTGCAGCGGAGTAAAGTCCACATCGCTGTCCTGCAGCCGGAGGAAGCTCATCTGCTGCTCCGCCTGCTTCTCTGTGGAACTCGCCGGTCCACCTTAAATGGCGCAGCAGTTACATTCTGGTGCATGAGGCTGAGCAGGTCACTGCTGCACCATTTAAGGTGGAACGGCGAATTCGAAAAGGAAGTCAACGAAACTGAAAATTAAACTTTAATCATCTTAAATACGCTTTGAGGAGTCAGGCCGTCCTTATCTGTGTGAGCGGAAACACTGTAGCACCGTATTTCACATCACAGGAGCTCTTTATTCGCTGTTTTATTCGCCCTGAATATGAAGCGCCGCTCAAGCCGCTGCGTCACTAGCGTGTGGGCGGGGCTTCAGACACTAAACACTGAGGATTTCACTGAAAATGTCTGTCAGGCCTTCTTAGCATGACCTTTAACCTACTAGCACAGTTTTCACCACATAGTCACTTTATTTGGAACAATAAATGTTCTGTTTTTGGAATGTTGGTTCCACAGCAGTGTCACACTAACTGATCAGATATTCAGCTCTGATGGTTTCATTTTGACCTATGAGGAGTTTTTGACTCTAAATTCGCAGACAAAAGTCTGATTATTGTTAGAGATGTTGGAGATGGAACATTAATCCAGCCCTCTTTAAAACAAAAAGCTATAAAAACTGTTAGCTGGCATGTCCTTCAACATTATTGTGCAGTTATAGATCCACCTTTTTATATGCGTTTGATGTATATTGTGTTTTACTTTCACTAAAAAAAACTGATTTCACATTGAAATCAGTATGAAATTATAATATTATAAACAAAAAAGAGAAGGCTTTAGTCCGGCGCAGCTGTGCGATACACATATTTTCACGTTTCCGAGATTAGATTAGATTTTTTCTATGTTAATGAATGTTTTTGGTTCTGCAGAGCTCTAATTCTGGATTGTTTGGCTCAGATAAGTAAAAGTTCTCCATAAAGCCGTTTGAGATGCATCCATAGCACAAGCCCCGCCCCCTTTGCTCTGATAGGCTGCGTCATTGAGCAGGAAAACAACAGATGGGTGACAAGTTGTTATAGGTTCTACAAGTGTCTAGAACAATACTGGAGGGATGGAACACCGTTCTTTCTAAAGATGTTCCCTCTGTTGGTGTTGTGTCGAAAACAAAACTGAACAATATCTACAACCCAATTTCCAAAAAAGTTGTAATTATGTAAGAATGTAAATGAAAACAAAATGCAAAGATGTGCAAATCACCTGGTGGTTAATTGGCAACAGGTCAGTAACATGATTGGGTATAAAAGAGCATCTCAGAGAGGCGGAGTCTTTCAGAAGTAAAGATGAGGAGGGGTTCACCACTCTGTGAAAGACTGCACCATCAAATAGTGCAGGAATTCAAGAATAACGTTTCTCAACATAAAATAGCAAAGAACTTTTGCTTTTCATCATCTACGGTACATAATAACATTAAAAGACTCAGAGAATCTGGAGAAATCTCTGTATGTGAGGGTCAAGGTCAAAAACCAGTATTTGCTGGCCGTGATCTTTGGGCCCTCAGAC